TGTAAATAAACTAGCTTTAATTTTTTTTTAAAAAAAGGTCAGTGGTTTGAAATAACCTGGATTTCCACTGATTAACTGAATTGACCAGGTTGATCCACACTGTTAAAGACACAGCCTAGGGAAACCTGTGGGGTGATTCTGCTCAGTCATAGAGAGTTGCTAAGTGTTGGCATCAATTCAGTATACAATACGATTTAAAGATCTTGTAATGTAAAAAGTAACCTCTAAGCTACCCTTAGCAATCAGGAGATGCACAGAATGTTGAGGAGTTAAAAGAAAAATCTCTACAGCAAAGAAGAAGATATAAACAAAGGTTAGAAGTGACACTGGAGGGAGACTTTGAGTGGACAGTTTCAGGCGATGGGTTCATTACAGTGGGCTTATTGGGTGTAATACAGAGTGAGACGTTCTATTCGCATGGTTGAATGCTTTGATTAGGTGCCTAAAGTGGGCTTCTTGGAATGACATTCCACATTGAAAGTAAACAAGCAAACTCACTTTGAACACGAGATATCAAAAGGTCTCATTCAAACTCAGGTTTCTGTGCTGCAGGTTTAAAAAAGCTTCCTCTCACTTAACTACTCACCCCTCTTTGCTTTATCTGGCCTCTGGGGTTGCTATTTCTGTCTGCCTCTGACACTATTTAGTTCTTCCTAATAGATTTAGCTGACTTTTTCCAGTAAAGAATTGACTGTCTGCCAAGCTGCCCACAGAACATGCCAGACTCAGCCTCTCTTTCTCATTGTTACTGTCCTTTTCAGCATTTCATAGTGAGTGTGTTTTTGTTTGGTGTGTTTTTTGTTTGTTTGTTTGTTTGTTTTTTATCCACTTCCTTCCTTGTTGAATTCCTTTATTAGTCCTTTGGTTATTGACTCTTTCTTCTCTTTGCTTCCATTCTCTCCATACATAGACTTTGTTGATAGACCAGCAGCCAATATTATTTTTCCCCCAACCTTATCCAATTCAGAATTTAAGGAAATAGCAGAGGAGAATTAGACTGTAAATATGGTTAGCTAGAATTATTCTCTTAGACAGATAGAGCCTCAAGTTCGGGATCCACAGCTAGACAACTTCTTACATCCTTCCATAATGGGTAGAACAGGGATTCTCAAACTTTAGCAGTCATCAGAATCACTAAAGAGCTTGTTAAAATAGATAGCCGTACTCATTTCTCATTTGGGGAGTTCTGCAGTGGGGCTCTGCTGGCCTACTGGTACGGAGTTGTGCTGCCAACCCAAAGGTAAGCGGTTCTAATGCAACAGCGTCTCCACAGGAGAAAGAGAAGCCATCCCTTCCTGTGCAAATTACAGCCTCTGGGAAATTCACTGGACAAGCAGAGGGGCCTGAGAATCTGCATTTATTACAATTCCCTGGGACGCTAATGATAGTGGCCCACAGTAGAGTAACCACTGCAGTGGGTACAGCTGGGGAGGACGAAGGCTCACCAGTGCTTGGGCAGCTGGGCAGAGGACTCAACAGCGGGCAGAGTTCCATTCCTGATCATAGCCACAAAAGTGTAGGCAAGGTATCCACAAGGTATGCTGGGGACCAGGCAGGAAGAGAGGGGGAAAACATGGAAAGCTCTGTATTTTGACTTTCTGAGAAATACTGAAGACAGCTCTGTACTGTATCACCCAGCCTCCAATGTGCACTCATGGAGAGAAGCAGCAGAAGGGAACTTTCAGGATTACTTTGATTTCTTCCCAGCTCCCTGAGTCCTCTGTTTATCTCTCTCCGTCCTTGGCCACCTTTCCCTTTCTACCCCACACCCAGTGGATGATTCAGCTCCCTTTCTTCTGCCCTCCTCCTCCCTACTGCACTGCCATCTGTTTTTCTAATGATGGCAGAAGAGGAGCTATTTTGTTAGCTTCCACCACAACAAAGTACACTCTATGTGCTAACATTGTTCTTGATACACTCTGACTGAGATTGCCCTTTTTTATTTTATTGCTATCATTTCCCCCACCCAGTTTTCTCTTTTTTTTTTTTTTCCAAACTCCACCCATTACCACTCTTTGGCCTCATAGACATCCTGATTTCCCAGAACTAGATCAAGAGACCCACAGGGAAACAGAAGAATAGAGGGCTTACCGTGCATTTGGGCTGCGTGTGTGTGGTAGAGAAGGGAGGGAGGGTGTGAGAAATCAGTGGCAGTAAAAGGCTCTCCCTGCAGCACAAGAGGAGCCAGAAGAACCCAAGCACTGCTGCTAAGTGGTCTAATCCTTTCCAGTGAGGGATGTGAATGACAAAACCTATCACGAGACTATAATATTTATATTTGTCACTGGCTATTCACGGGACAAGGAGACCTGAAGGCAGAGTGGCTAATGAGTCAGATTGCTAACCTAAACAAATGTCAGTGGTTCAAATTTACCAGTCCCAGAAATATGAGAGGTCTCATCCCATAAATACTGACAACCTTTGAAACCCAGTGGAGAGTCTCAATGATTTAAAATCAACTCAACAACAGTGGATTTGATTTCCAAGATGAAAGGGCTTGAATAGAGGTGAGGTCAGAACCATTGCTCCTTGTTCACATCAGGATTCCAGCAAGTCTCTGCTTTCTCTTGACTGCGTCTTCTAATAATAACAACTCCAGTTAACCTAGCTTCAACAAAAAAGGAATACTTTCACTGAGCTAGATTGACAAAGTTGCCACAAAAATGAGCTCAGACATAACAATCGTTAGGAGGGTGCTGCTGCTGCTGTTGTTGTTGTTGTATACCATCAATCAGAACTGACTCATAGCTGACCCTCAAATGGGTCTTCAGAGACTGCCCGTATTTCCCTCTTGGAACAGATAGTGCATTCGAGCATGGCTTTGAGTTGGCAGGGCAACTCCTTACCATAAACTCTCCACAGGAGGGTACAGGACTGGACAATGCTCTATTCTGCTATACACAGGGCCATTATGGATGGGAACACATTTGAGTACCTAATAATAACCACAAGAAGGGATTCAGAGTATCTGCAAGTCCTCCACTGGAAGAAGAATCCACTATGTAGAGTATATAGAATTTTAAAATTTTTTCATAAATATATATACACGTATATATACATACATACACATAAACATATATATATACACAAACATATATACACATATATATACATATATACACACATATATGTGTATATATATGTATATATATATATATTTATGTAGTAACATCTTATTGTTTGTAGATATCCTTGAAATAAATTGTGATTCACAATGAATGACCTTACGTACAGGAGACCAAAATCTTGCCCAATCCTATGTTATGCTCACAAGCCCTGCTGAGCCGGTTCTTGTAGTCACTATGACAATCCATCATTTGGAGTATCTTTCTATTTTTCCTTGATCAACTTGGTAACATAAAAGTAGAAGGTAGTGAAGGTAAATTTGGATTAGCTGCTCTGTGGGAGAAAGATGGACAGTCTCCTCTTGTGCTATTTCCAGTCTAGGAAAGCCAGTGGAGAGTCAGTGATGAGCTGGTTCCAACTCGACTGCAATGAATGTGAGAGGTTATTTTGGCTTTTCTCTAAGAAGTGGCAAAAAGAGGCCTGCTGGACTCAGGCAGTCATTGAAAATGAGTGAAGCCCACCATGCAAGAAGGCACAGGGGGAAAGGAGGACCGTATTGAAACAATAGCTGCCTTTCTGAAGCTGTAGCTACTATTCAGATCCAGCAAAGCATTGCCATATAGTGTCCATAGAGTTTTAGCTTTATTCATTGGGTGTGAAGGAAGCTGGGGGAGGGAGAGAGAGAAAGAATTTATATACACACATACTACTTTTATGTGAAATACCAAATTTTTAAACGTTGACAACCAAAATAAGTCTTCAGATACCATGTTAGTGGACCTGTCTGTGGGCTACTTGTCTGTAAATTTAGGTGTAACTAAGATCATCCATAAGAAATGTACTTAATGGGTGGCAGGTATGGCACATGCCCCAGGCACCACCTAAAGGCAAGGTACCACTGAGCTCTATGAGCCACTGCCAGCTATGAGAGGTCACCAGGAAAAATTAAACGAAAAGAATTATTGCTTTCAAGTAGATTCTAACTCATGGTAACCTTCCAGGACAGAGTAGAAATGCTTCACAGGGTTTCCAAGGCTGCCCACTAGCTTCTCCATGGGAGAAGCACTGGTAAACTTCTGTGTGATTTACTGCCTCTGAAAGCTCTCTGGAGGGTCAGCTATGAGTTGGTGATGTCTTGATGGCACACAACGACAATTCTGTATAGAAGCATGCAGCATCCTTCTCCCATGGAACTACTAACAGTTTTAATCTGCTGATCTTTTAGAAAGCAGTCAACTCACTATACTGAGTTCCTCTTGAAAGAGAGAGAGTGGAAAGAAAATTACTTTGAACCCATCGCAGCCTAATTTTTATCATTTAGAGTGAGGAAAGTGCAGTGATAGTTTTCCTGTAATGTCATATGTTAAGTAAAAAATTAAAGAGCTTGGCTTATGTTTCCAAATTGATAGTATGGTAAAGTTATCTAGAAGATAAACATCAGGTGTTCAAATTTCAAAAGCTCCTTGCTGTCGAGTCATAACCGACTCCTAGCTGACCTTCCGTTCTGTTTCAAATGAGGTTAAATTGCCTGGAAGGAGACTATCTATATTTCTCCAGAGAACCAGGTGGGAGAGTCAAACTGCCAGAGAAGCTTTGCCTTGGGCTGGCAGTGTTGCTCCCTCTGGCTCTGCCTGCTGAGCCCGCTAGACCTTTGCAAAGAGCCAAAAATGCAGTACTTTTTTGCTACAGGTGCTATTTTCCATGGATACCCTCCTGGAGCACACTTAGAGAATTCCAGAATCACAAATAATCCTGATTTGCTTTCTAACTAGTGTCTTCTTTGCAAAGCTAAATGTAAGAAAGGTTAAAGTAAAAGTAGAGGAAGTGACAGTTGTGGGGAGAGTGGGATGTTGGTTTTGATGAAGTCAGATCCCTGTGGGTTGGGTGGACCAGAGATGAGCAGTGTGGGTTTGCAGAGGGAGAGGGCCACTTACCTCACATGATTGGATGCATTGGACCAGCGAGGGGTCTGGGTACCACTGCAGCCTCCCAGTGCACACGATGTTCTAAAGGGGAAGAAGAAAGGATGGTAAATACAGACACTTGCTCAGTGAATGAGGAGGCAAATCCTGAGTTTGCAGCCCCATTCCAAACCCAGACATGAGTGGTGAGACTCTCACAGCACCTGATAGAGTCTCAGTTCTCTGGCATTTCCCACGGAAATCTGCCTAATCCTGAGAGACAGTGTCAAGACAGAAACTCTTAGTAAACTACTGGATTTGTCCTCTTCAAAATTCCCTTCTCTACTCATAGGGTCCCAACATTTCCAGTGATGTGGACATAACTGAAAATGCACTTTAGCTATTACAATACTACATTTTATTCAGTTTTATTCCATCTTTGTTCAGCTTGTTTGGAAATTTTCTTATTGGATCATGTTATAAGAAATGGTGGGATGGTGACATTGATTGACCAGCAATCACTATCTATAAAGGATCAGACTGGCAATGGGAGACCCAAAGGACAGACAGAAAACATGGGGAGCATAAGTTGATGTGAATGAGGCTGGAATAATTAACAAAAAGAGAATCAAACTAATTGCACAACTTGATGAGTTTAATCAACCTCACTAAAGTACAGATGTAGGAATTGTTATATACTCAATTACCATAAAAAATTTAAAAAAGGATACTGTGAGGATTTAGCTGGTTTTTGTTCTGTTGTACATAGGGCTGCTAAGTGCCATAGTTATGTGGTTTAAATCCACCAGCTGCTCCTTGGGAGAAAGATGGGCAGTCTCCTCCTGTGTGATTTACTGCCTCTGAAAAACCACTGTAGGATAAGTTATTGGTCGCTTCCAACTCAATGGTACCCAACAACAACAGCAAAAACAGCAAAGGATTTAAATGCCAAGAAATATACGTGCATGAGAAATATCTCAACTGAACTGGGTCTCAGAAATTCTGTGTCCTATGATGTGAGTGGCCAAGTGAAGTCTGAAGCTGAATTACACTTTCTGTAACTCTTGTTAGCATCACTTATCTCCTGTAGGGAATAGAAGGGTGTCCACAAATACAGCTGATGTGAAACTACTGGGACTTAAAACAGTGCCAACTTCAAAACTGATGCTAGTGCAAGCACATCATGAAACACTATTGACTGTCTCATTCCAAACAGCCATGTTCATGGAATAGTCTATGGAAACAAACAGTCAGTCATGAACTCTGTTGAAGTAATAATAACAACTCATTTTTCACTGATCTTTCCCTTTTGAAAGTTTTTATTTCAAAATTTTAAAAGATGCACTGTATGGAAAGAGAAATCCCCACTGTAGCGTCTCAAAGACAAAATGAAGTCTCTCTCCAAAGTCTGTTACCAATATACACTTTGGCATCCTTTCACGCTCATGTTTTAACTTTGTGCAGCAAGAATTCAGTGCAACAGGAAGAAGAAGAGTACATGATATGATAGGAGCTTTACACATGATGACACCCCTAGTAACTGGAAATCATTTAGAATGTTGTTGGTGCTGTAATTAGTTTGGAGATACTTATTGGAGAGACATGTGTTTACAAGGAGTGCTGGTGGTGCAATGGTTGCTAACTGAAAGGTTAGTGGGTAGAGCCCAACCAGCAGCTTCTGTGGGAGAAAGATGTGGTGCTGTGCACTCATAAATGCCTTAGCCTAGGCAGCTCTATAGGGAACTCTGATGGCCTAGTGGCAAGAAGCTGCACTGCAAACCCGAAGGCACGTGGTTGGAGGCCACCAACTGCACAATGGTAGAAGGATGGGCAGTTTCCTCCCATGAGATTAACTGCCTCTGAAAACCCACCAGAGGGTCAGCTATGGGTTGGTTCCAACTCGATTATAAACAACAACAAAAAGCAACTCTATGGGACAGTTATACTCTGTCCGATAGTTGTCCTATGGGTTGGAATAGACTAGATGGCATACAACAACGTAAGTGGTAATATGAATTTATACCTCCTGGTTATTCATGATAAAGGGAAGCTGTAATTTTTTGTTGTTTTATTTTCTTTAAAATATTTTATACTGGCTTGCTTATAAAGTTTGTATACATTGTTTTTCACACCAAATATTTCTCATTTCTTTTACCCACCCTTCCTTCCACCCATCAAATTGTGCGACCCTATGATTACTGCCCCCACTCGCCCATCCTCACCCTTCTGCTTCCCCCCACCCTCTTAGATCTTCATTCACATTCTACAATAATGGTCTTATACAGTATGAAAACTATAATATTTTATGAGACTGTTATCATACCATTCATTTATAGTTTTCTTAAAAGCGACATAAATAAGTCTACACATATGTTGATTTTAAAAACTCTGAAATTGATTTAGACAGTAACTTGACTTAAGTTAGCATTGCACTAAAAATTATCAAACCGATAAAGAATGTAAACAAGCAATAATGGTGCTCAGTCTACTGGGAAAAAAAAAAGAATTATCCTTCTGCAGTTAAGGTTGTTTAAGCAGAACAATCTGCATATAAACTATGGCTCTGCTAAGTAGAAATGATTATTGTTTATGTTATAAAGCAGGTTTAACTGTAGCTATACTTAGCAGTGGCCATAACTTTTATTATTTAAAATACCATTGCTTTTATACTCTGTTGCTTTTCCTTGATAGAAATAATGGCAAAAAGCACAACAGTTTTTGCCTTTGAAATGGAAACGGAGGACGACTGTATTTCTTTCATAGCACAGCATTGACTAAGGACCCTGATGTTCCCACCTGAATCATTTGATTCAGACCAAATGTATATACTCATCCCTTTCCATGAGCTCAACTTTCTGTGGAACAGGGAGAGCTGAAGATCTAGTCATTACTCCTGGGGAACTGTAATTACACTAAGAGTTCCTGCAGCGCAAGTAGTTAGTGTAATTGGCTACCAGTTGGCAGATTGGAGGTTCTAGTCTACAAGAAGTTGCTCAAAAGATACATCCAGTGATCTACTTCAAGAATATCAACACTGAAAACCTGTGAGTGCCCTGACTGTGTGTCCACGGGAAATCAAATTAATTTGGACCCTACCAATTTATAATATGGTACTTGGGGTGGGGGGGGGGAAGGATTGCTCAGCCCATGAAAAAGGAATTTATAATTTAAAATAATGACACAGGAGGACACTGTCTTATCTTTCTCCCATGGAACTGCTGGTAGATTCAAACCACCTACTTTTAGATTTATATTTATGTGTGTATATATAATTTATATTATACATACATACATATGTGTGTGTGTGTGTGTGTGTGTGTGTGTGTGTGTGTGTGTGTGTATTGGTCAAACATTCTTCTTGGTCTTATAGCCCTGGTGTGTCCACTTGTTGTACAGAGGTAACTTGTGGTTGCTGTGAAGCTGGACACTGTGACACTGATGTGTCAAAAGTGATAATGGTTAACCATGGTGGACAGTGTTGGGTGGAGTTCCCCAATCAAGCTTGGAAGCAGGAGAGACATCCACTTCCGAAATAGCTTGCCTCTGGAAACCCTATGAACCCGAAAAAAGGATGAAAGTTTTACAAGTGTTCATGTCTTTTGTTCATAGGGTGGCTATGAGTTGCCTACAACTTGACGGCACTTAACAACAACGACAACAAAGAGAGAGCTTAGTTGGCCTAGTGGACAGAAAATGATGTTACCAAGCCAAAGGTGGGTGACTTTAATCCATAGCCCACAGGTCTGGTTTTAATTGTTTTTGGTGAAACACTCTTCTACGTTGTATAGCCCTGGTCTGTCCACTTGCTGTACAGAGGTAACTCATGGTTGCTGTGATACTGAACACTGTGACACTGATGTGTTAAATGTGATAATAGGAAAGTCCAACAATGAATGAATGGAAATCCAAAATCTCTGTAGATGTTCATAAAAAAATTTTTAAAAATGTGTTAATAGTCACTCATGGCAGACAGTGTTTGGTGGAGCTCTCTGATTAAAACAAACTTGGAAGCAGGAGTGGCATGCACTTCCAAAATAGCTTGCCTCCAGAAACCCTATGAACCTGGAGAAAAGATGAAAATATACAAGTATTCAGGTCTTTCGTTCATAAGGTCAGTATGAGTTGCCTATGACTCGACAGCACTTAACAACAATAACAACATCTATATTGTATGTAACAACTATGTCCTGAATTGATTTTTAATTTCTTCTCTTAGGAGATGAGAGGAAAGAATGAAGAAGACATTATTGCTATCCTCAAGGAAGTTACAGCATAATGGGGAGTGGGATAACAATAGGAATCCCTGTGGTGCAAACAGTGCTCCAGGCTGCTATGTGAAAGTCTATAGGTTCTAGTCCAACCAGAAGTTCCTCAGAAGAAAGGCCTGGTGATCTCCTTCTTTCCTACAGCAAAAGATCAGTGGCTGTCCCCAAAGGTCCAATTGCCCAGATCACCATGACTGGCCAGCACAAGGTGAACTGTCAGCAGGGTTTTCCCCCTGCTCTGTTTCCTTTCTGTTGGGACATTTCTCTGCTGAAGAAAACATCAATATAAGAGAAAATATCCAGAAGTTCATCTGTGAATTTTCAAATCATTACCTTGAGCGAGGAGTCCTGGGAAAAAAGAGCCTCTGCAAGAATGTGTGAACTCCTAAGAAAGGACAAGAGAGGCTGTGCCAGGCTTCCTTACCTGAAAAGTCAGGAAGGCTCTAACACTCTGAGAAAGTTTCCTTTTCTACTGAGGTAGAGGAGCTGTGACTTTGTAGGAGAATTCTTTTATCTAGAAAGCCAAGATGTGGCCAAGCTCACAACCTCCTACCCTGTTGAAATTGTACAGCCAATGCTCGTGTTTTAAAACCACCAAGGAGAGAGTAGGAAAACTACTTCTTTGTTTCTTACAAAAAGCCCAGAACAAAGCAGTTCAGGGAGCTCAGCCATTTTGGACAATCGTCCTTTGAAGCTCTGCCTAATAAAATTCTTCCCGTTATTAAAGAGGTGTTAGTGGTGATTTACCCCCAGGTAGCTCCCCTGGGTCTTGTCTTCCAACAACTTATCTTCTTCCAGGGCCAGCGTACTCATGAGACACTCACACAATGTCTCTGGAAG